GCTATAAATCACTAAAAATGTAGGTTTTAATGGAAAAATCAGCTATAAATCACTATAAATGATGGGATAATCAGCTATAAATTTCTAAACATGAAGGGGTCAATGGGGCAGTCCCCTTTGAAAGGGTGATTTTCGCAAGCTGTGCTTGATTACAAGAGGGTATGCAAGTTATGGATGAATCCCCCTTTTTAAATCTTTTTAATGGTTGATCTTGATGGTTCAATTGTTGTCCCAATTTGTTGGGTTTGATCGTTGGAGGGATTTAAGCATGCATGGAAGAAATGGGAAACGTTTAAACATTAAACTTTGGAAATCTAAGCATCGAACATGGGGGAATCTGCAAATCGGAATTTCACGTATCAAGATAATGGATGGTTTCTAATTTCTCACAGTTTCACCTCCAAACATTCGCTGATACAGTATGAGTAGCATGTTTGAACCAGAGATCAGGTCCAAGCAATTTCTGTACAAGGTTGAGACCTATTGCTCCCACCAGCCTTCTGGTAGTCTGGTAGTCTTACTGGAATGGTTCTGGTTTTGGTCACCCTTTACTCCCAAAAATGCAACAGCCTAGGGTCATCCCCTCCTGGAACCCAACCGTTGGAAACAACATGCCATATCATTTCCCACAAGACGCAATGAAACGGACAAAAGCCTCATTTCCCCCACAGCAGGGGTGTGGTTCCATTCACTGGATATCAAACCATGGTACTACCAGGAGGCAATCTATATCCCAACTTATGCGGGTAATGCCGCTGATGAAACTGGAGATAGTTGTACCTAATTTATCCCATAACATTTTCCCATATTTTCCCAAGATGTATCCCATGCTACCATTAAACCCCAAAAACTGCAGCCCCAAGTAGTTCTTGTTTATCCCATGTTTATCCCCTGCAGCTGCGCTTAAGCGATGATTCGGCCTGTGCGCCCTTGGCCTTTTTGGACTCTTCAAGCTGCCAAATGGATATACGGTAGCTCCAAAAATCAGTCTGACAATGTAATAGATATATATATAAACGTATATAAATAATTATATATATAAATGTACTATGCACAATGACATTTTTGGATATGTGAAGCATCCAAAAAGCATCCAATTCTCCATAGCTATGCGGAAATTACCACAGGGTAACGTCCAACATGAATTGCATACTATGGGTATGGATCAAAACCATGGTACGTACCTTTGTTCACGGCAAAATCGCTGGGATTTATGGATGTCCAATGATGTCAACCTCTGGTCCCCTGCGGTATCTGCGCCAAGCGGCTCCAACTCCAAGTAATCGTCATAGCCAGGCTTGTCATAGATGGTGGTAAACATAACCTTGTTCTTATGTTAAACTGGGGGCTAAATTCTCAGCCAAGATTTCAGAATGATGTGTTTGATTTGGTTTACGAGCATGTCCCCCCACACACACACACAGATGTGTATATATACACATATATACATATATATAGAAACACATTTCCTACACATATTGAGGCATAATGAGGCATAGGCATAGATAAATACATATATAGATATATAGTGATCCTGAAGTAGATAGAATATTTTTTTGGAGGGTGCGGGATTTATGTTGGAATATGTTGGATGTCGGCCACTTAAAAAAAAACAGGTAGTTGGAATATTTCGACCCCTCCCCCCGGGGAGGTCGAAAACTGGTAGTTGGAATATGGTTTGGAGGGGTAGGTAGAATATTGTTGTTTTCAAAGTGGCCCATTTACTTCAAGATATTACGCAATTACCCGTATATACTCATGCATAGGGATGACAAAAAAAATATATATATATAATTATATATATATAATTATATATAATCATATATATATATTATGTAGGTATTTCAATATATAAGCCGCTCCGCCCACATAGAATATGCAAGGAACAGGGTCCCCTTTATGTATAATTATTAAATACGTAATTCCCTTTGGGGAGTAGCACCCCTGGATGTCTGAAGTTCCTAAACTAGAACGTTTTAACAAGAAACAGGTCCTCCGAAATGATCAATTTCTTTTCATATTGTTTTAAAAGAATGACTTTTTCAAGCTCACCGAGGGGTACCCCCCACGACCGGCGTCGTAGAACTATGAAAAAAAAACTGTTTTGCAATGAAAACCAATGGAATTAGGTGGCATTCTGGAAAAAATGATGAATATTTTCACTGGGGACCTATATTCTATGTATGTAGTTTTGCAAGGAATAGGGTCCCCTTCATGTATAATTATTAAATACGTAATTCCTTTTGGGTAGCAGCAATCCTGGATATCTGAAGTTCCTAAACTGGAAAGTTTCAACAAAAAAACAGGCCCCCCGAAATGATCAATTTATTTTTATATTGTATTAAAAGAATAAGTTTTTCAAGCTCACCAAAGGGTATCCCCCACGAACGGTGTCGGAGAACTATGAAAAAAAACTAGTTTGCAATGAAAACTAATGGAATTATTTGGTGTTACTAAAAAATGGTTAACTATTTTCACTGGGGACCTATATTCTATGTATGTGTTTCTGCAAGGAATTTGGTCTCTTCCATGTAAAAGTATAAGGGTATATATCTATATATATCATATACGTAATGTTAAATTTCACGAGGTCTTGGGGTTTTTAGGGTATATTGGGTTTCAAAGTCAAAATGCATCATTTCGAGCAACCTGCGCGCAGAAGGGTCGTGAGGAAAAGTGTTGAATGTTGTGATTTTTGTTGAATCAGTGGTCCACAGGTCCAACCGGCGTTCCAGAGAAACTGAAACAGTCGGAAACAGTCGGAAACAGTCGGAAACCGTCGGAAACAGTCGGAAACAGTCGGAAACAGTCGGGAACGGCCCGGCGTGATCATGCCGAAATTGTCAATCCGCATTTTTTTTGCCAAACAAATACTTTCCGCGCAATCCCATTTTTTTTTGAAAGTGCAACGGGAAACAGTTGGAAACAGTTGGGGCTCGTACCTTTGACTCGGCAAAAAACGAGCTATTTAAAACCATTTAAGGTTCATTTTCTTTATAAACTGCTTTTAAATAGCTGTTTTTTTGCCGAGTCAAAGGTACGAGCCCCAACTGTTTCCAACTGTTTCCTGTTGCACTTTCAAAAATAAAATGGGATTGCGCGGATTTTTTTTTGCGAAAAGATGGCGGATTGACAATTTTGGCATGATCACGCCGGGCCGCTCCCGACTGTTTCCGACTGTTTCCGACTGTTTCCGACTGTTTCAGTTTCTCTGGAACGCCAGTTGGACCTGTGGACCACTGATTCAACAAAAATCACAACATTTAACACTTTTCCTCACGACCCTTCTGCGCGCAGGTTGCTCGAACTGATGCATTTTGACTTTGAAACCCAATATACCCTAACAATCCCAAAACCCCAAGACCTCGTGAAATTCAATAATACGTAATTCCCTTTGGGGAGTAGCACCCCTGGATGTCTGAAGTTCCTAAACTAGAACGTTTCAACAAGAAACAGGTCCTCCGAAATGATCAATTTCTTTTCATATTGTTTTAAAAAATGAGTTTTTCAAGCTCACCGAGGGGTACCCCCCACGACCGGCGTCGTAGAACTATGAAAAAAAAACTATTTTGCAATGTAAACCAATGGAATTAGTTGGCATTCTGAAAAAAATGATGAATGTTTTCACTGGGGACCTATATTCTATGTATGTAGTTTTGCAAGGAATAGGGTCCCCTTCATGTATAATTATTAAATACGTAATTCCTTTTGGGTAGCAGCAATCCTGGATATCTGAAGTTCCTAAACTGGAACGTTTCAACAAAAAAACAGGTCCCCCGAAATGATCAATTTCTTTTTATATTGTATTAAAAAAATGAGTTTTTCAAGCTCACCAAAGGGTACCCCCCACGAACGGTGTCGGAGAACTATGAAAAAAACTAGTTTGCAATGAAAACTAATGGAATTAGTTGGTGTTCCTAAAAAAATGGTTAACTATTTTCACTGGGGACCTATATTCTATGTATGTGTTTCTGCAAGGAATTTGGTCTCTTCCATGTAAATAGAATATATATATATATCTATATATATATATACGTAATTCCCTTTGGGGAGTAGCACCCCTGGATGTCTGAAGTTCCTAAACTAGAACGTTTCAACAAGAAACAGGTCCTCCGAAATGATCAATTTCTTTTCATATTGTTTTTAAAAAATGAGTTTTTCAAGCTCACCGAGGGGTACCCCCCACGACCGGCGTCGTAGAACTATGAAAAAAAAAAAATTGCAATGAAAACCAATGGAATTAGGTGGCATTCTGAAAAAAATGATGAATATTTTCACTGGGGACCTATATTCTATGTATGTAGTTTTGCAAGGAATAGGGTCCCCTTCATGTATAATTATTAAATACGTAATTCCTTTTGGGTAGCAGCAATCCTGGATATCTGAAGTTCCTAAACTGGAACGTTTCAACAAAAAAACAGGTCCCCCGAAATGATCAATTTCTTTTTATATTGTATTAAAAAAATGAGTTTTTCAAGCTCACCAAAGGGTACCCCCCACGAACGGAGTCGGAGAACTATGAAAAAAAACTAGTTTGCAATGAAAACTAATGGAATTAGTTGGTGTTCCTAAAAAATGGTTAACTATTTTCACTGGGGACCTATATTCTATGTATGTGTTTCTGCAAGGAATTTGGTCTCTTCCATGTAAAAGTAGAAGGGTATATATCTATATATATCATATACGTAATTCCCTTTGGGGAGTAGCACCCCTGGATGTCTGAAGTTCCTAAACTAGAACGTTTCAACAAGAAACAGGTCCTCCGAAATGATCAATTTCTTTTCATATTGTTTAAAAAAAATGAATTTTTCAAGCTCACCGAGGGGTACCCCCCACGACCGGCGTCGTAGAACTATGAAAAAAAACTATTTTGCAATGAAAACCAATGGAATTAGGTGGCATTCTGAAAAAAATGATGAATATTTTCACTGGGGACCTATATTCTATGTATGTAGTTTTGCAAGGAATAGGGTCCCCTTCATGTATAATTATTAAATACGTAATTCCTTTTGGGTAGCAGCAATCCTGGATATCTGAAGTTCCTAAACTGGAACGTTTCAACAAAAAAACAGGTCCCCCGAAATGATCAATTTCTTTTTATATTGTATTAAAAAAATGAATTTTTCAAGCTCACCAAAGGGTACCCCCCACGAACGGAGTCGGAGAACTATGAAAAAAAACTAGTTTGCAATGAAAACTAATGGAATTAGTTGGTGTTCCTAAAAAATTGTTAACTATTTTCACTGGGGACCTATATTCTATGTATGTGTTTCTGCAAGGAATTTGGTCTCTTCCATGTAAAAGTATAAGGGTATATATCTATATATATATATCATATACGTAATTCCCTTTGGGGAGTAGCACCCCTGGATGTCTGAAGTTCCTAAACTAGAACGTTTCAACAAGAAACAGGTCCTCCGAAATGATCAATTTCTTTTCATATTGTTTTAAAAAATGAGTTTTTCAAGCTCACCGAGGGGTACCCCCCACGACCGGCGTCGTAGAACTATGAAAAAAAAACTATTTTGCAATGAAACCAATGGAATTAGGTGGCATTCTGAAAAAAATGATGAATATTTTCACTGGGGACCTATATTCTATGTATGTAGTTTTGCAAGGAATAGGGTCCCCTTCATGTATAATTATTAAATACGTAATTCCTTTTGGGTAGCAGCAATCCTGGATATCTGAAGTTCCTAAACTGGAACGTTTCAACAAAAAAACAGGTCCCCCGAAATGATCAATTTCTTTTTATATTGTATTAAAAAAATGAGTTTTTCAAGCTCACCAAAGGGTACCCCCCACGAACGGAGTCGGAGAACTATGAAAAAAACTAGTTTGCAATGAAAACTAATGGAATTAGTTGGTGTTCTAAAAAATGGTTAACTATTTTCACTGGGGACCTATATTCTATGTATGTGTTTCTGCAAGGAATTTGGTCTCTTCCATGTAAAAGTAGATAGGGTATATATCTATATATATATCATATACGTAATTCCCTTTGGGGAGTAGCACCCCTGGATGTCTGAAGTTCCTAAACTAGAACGTTTCAACAAGAAACAGGTCCTCCGAAATGATCAATTTCTTTTCATATTGTTTTAAAAAATGAGTTTTTCAAGCTCACCGAGGGGTACCCCCCACGACCGGCGTCGTAGAACTATGAAAAAAAAACTATTTTGCAATGTAAACCAATGGAATTAGGTGGCATTCTGAAAAAAATGATGAATATTTTCACTGGGGACCTATATTCTATGTATGTAGTTTTGCAAGGAATAGGGTCCCCTTCATGTATAATTATTAAATACGTAATTCCTTTTGGGTAGCAGCAATCCTGGATATCTGAAGTTCCTAAACTGGAACGTTTCAACAAAAAAACAGGTCCCCCGAAATGATCAATTTCTTTTTATATTGTATTAAAAAAATGAATTTTTCAAGCTCACCAAAGGGTACCCCCCACGAACGGAGTCGGAGAACTATGAAAAAAAACTAGTTTGCAATGAAAACTAATGGAATTAGTTGGTGTTCCTAAAAAATGGTTAACTATTTTCACTGGGGACCTATATTCTATGTATGTGTTTCTGCAAGGAATTTGGTCTCTTCCATGTAAAAGTATAAGGGTATATATCTATATATATATATATATCATATACGTAATTCCCTTTGGGGAGTAGCACCCCTGGATGTCTGAAGTTCCTAAACTAGAACGTTTCAACAAGAAACAGGTCCTCCGAAATGATCAATTTCTTTTCATATTGTTTTAAAAAATGAGTTTTTCAAGCTCACCGAGGGGTACCCCCCACGACCGGCGTCGTAGAACTATGAAAAAAACATATTTGCAATGTAAACCAATGGAATTAGGTGGCATTCTGAAAAAAATGATGAATATTTTCACTGGGGACCTATATTCTATGTATGTAGTTTTGCAAGGAATAGGATCCCCTTCATGTATAATTATTAAATACGTAATTCCTTTTGGGTAGCAGCAATCCTGGATATCTGAAGTTCCTAAACTGGAACGTTTCAACAAAAAAACAGGTCCCCCGAAATGATCAATTTCTTTTTATATTGTATTAAAAAAATGAATTTTTCAAGCTCACCAAAGGGTACCCCCCACGAACGGTGTCGGAGAACTATGAAAAAAAACTAGTTTGCAATGAAAACTAATGGAATTAGTTGGTGTTCCTAAAAAAATGGTTAACTATTTTCACTGGGGACCTATATTCTATGTATGTGTTTCTGCAAGGAATTTGGTCTCTTCCATGTAAAAGTATAAGGGTATATATCTATATATATATATCATATACGTAGTTCCCTTTGGGGAGTAGCACCCCTGGATGTCTGAAGTTCCTAAACTAGAACGTTTCAACAAGAAACAGGTCCTCCGAAATGATCAATTTCTTTTCATATTGTTTTAAAAAATGAGTTTTTCAAGCTCACCGAGGGGTACCCCCCACGACCGGCGTCGTAGAACTATGAAAAAAAAACTATTTTGCAATGAAAACCAATGGAATTAGGTGGCATTCTGAAAAAAATGATGAATATTTTCACTGGGGACCTATATTCTATGTATGTAGTTTTGCAAGGAATAGGGTCCCCTTCATGTATAATTATTAAATACGTAATTCCTTTTGGGTAGCAGCAATCCTGGATATCTGAAGTTCCTAAACTGGAACGTTTCAACAAAAAAACAGGTCCCCCGAAATGATCAATTTCTTTTTATATTGTATTAAAAAAATGAATTTTTCAAGCTCACCAAAGGGTACCCCCCACGAACGGTGTCGGAGAACTATGAAAAAAAACTAGTTTGCAATGAAAACTAATGGAATTAGTTGGTGTTCCTAAAAAATGGTTAACTATTTTCACTGGGGACCTATATTCTATGTATGTGTTTCTGCAAGGATTTTGGTCTCTTCCATGTAAAAGTATAAGGGTATATATCAATATATATCATATACGTAATTCCCCCTCTGGGGAGTAGCACCCCTGGATGTCTGAAGTTCCTAAACTAGAACGTTTCAACAAGAAACAGGTCCTCCGAAATGATCATTTTTTTTTTATATTGCATGAAAAAAATGAGTTTTTCAAGCTCACCGAAGGGTATCCCCCACGACCGGTGTCGGGGAACTATGACAAAAAACATATTTTTACAATGAAAGCCAATAAAATTAATGAATATGTTCACCGGGGACCTATATTCTATGTATGTAGTTCTGAAAGGAATTTGGTGTCGTTCATACATAAGGGTGTATATGATATACGTAATTCCCTTTGGGGAGTAGCAACTTTGGATATCTGAAGTTCCTAAACTGGAACGTTTCAACAAAAAAACAGGTCCCCCGAAATGATCAATTTCTTTTTATTTTGCATTAAAGAAATTATTTTTTCAAGCTCACCGAAGGGTACCCCCCACGACCGGCGTTGTAGAACATTTAAAAAAAATGCAATGAAAGCCAATGGAATTAGGTGGCATTCTGAAAAAAATGATGAATATTTTCACCGGGGACCTATATTCTATGTATGTAGTTTTGCAAGGAATAGGGTCCCCTTCATGTATAATTATTAAATACGTAATTCCTTTTGGGTAGCAGCAATCCTGGATATCTGAAGTTCCTAAACTGGAACGTTTCAACAAAAAAACAGGTCCCCCGAAATGATCAATTTATTTTTATATTGTATTAAAAAAATGAATTTTTCAAGCTCACCAAAGGGTACCCCACACGACCGGCGTCGTAGAACTATGGAAAAAAACTATTTTGCAAAAAAAAACAATGGAATTAGTTGGTGTTATTAAAAAATGGTTAACTATTTTCACTGGGGACCTATATTCTATGTATGTGTTTCTGCAAGGAATTTGGTCTCTTCCATGTAAAAGATTGTAAAAGTATAAGGGTATATATCAATATATATCATATACGTAATTCCCTTTGGGGAGTAGCACCCCTGGATGTCTGAAGTTCCTAAACTAGAACGTTTCAACAAGAAACAGGTCCTCCGAAATGATCAATTTCTTTTCATATTGTTTTAAAAAATGAATTTTTCAAGCTCACCGAGGGGTACCCCCCACGACCGGCGTCGTAGAACTATGAAAAAAAAACTATTTTGCAATGAAAATCAATGGAATTAGGTGGCATTCTGAAAAAAATGATGAATATTTTCACTGGGGACCTATATTCTATGTATGTAGTTTTGCAAGGAATAGGGTCCCCTTCATGTATTATTATTAAATACGTAATTCCTTTTGGGTAGCAGCAATCCTGGATATCTGAAGTTCCTAAACTGGAACGTTTCAACAAAAAAACAGGTCCCCCGAAATGATCAATTTCTTCTTATTTTGCATTAAAGAAATTATTTTTTCAAGCTCACCGAAGGGTACCCCCCACGACCGGCGTCGTAAAACATTTTTAAAAAATGCAATGAAAGCCAATGGAATTAGGTGGCAGTCCTTAAAAAAATGATGAATATTTTCACTGGGGACCTGTATTCTATGTATGTAGTTTTGCAAGGAATAGGGTCCCCTTCATGTATAATTATTAAATACGTAATTCCTTTTGGGTAGCAGCAATCCTGGATATCTGAAGTGGTGTTCACAATTCCCTCAAAATATTCTATCTACCTGGTTTGAAACAATATTCTATCTATTTTTTGGTGTTGTTTGATTTTTGTATTTTTCAAAATTTCCCCAGACCCGTGTTCAAAACTGGCTAAAAATGACTTAACAAAGACGAAAAACGTGTAAAAACTGAGGTTTTTGAAAATATTCCAACTATTATTTTTTTTAAAAAAAATCCTTTTTGAAAATTTCCGATATTCTATCTACTTCAGGATGACTATAGATATATATGCATAACATACGATCATATGTGTACTGTATACTATAAGTAATTACATACACACAGTTGTAATACCCGATCATGAAAGGAAATGCTTGGCAAATATGCACATTGATTTTTAAACTTATCATGAACCTATAATTGATCCAAGGAGTACGCGGAAGGCACCATTGAACTGCAAACATCATACTAAACGGCTCAGAATGCATGAGCCAAAAGGATGGATATGGATGGATGCCATGAAGCAATGCCTGAACCACAACAACAATATCATTAGACATCAGCAACTGTGCGCCCTCGTTGGGTCACATGTTGATACAATATGTTGAGTCACATGCACCTCAAGCCTAACATCAGGTACCCCACAAAAAAAGTCAACTTCCGTTCTGATCATCCGTGTTGGGGCCAAACATCAATCCAGTGACCGAACCAAACCAAACTTTACGCACATCTTACATCATATGAGCACATCATACTGGTTGGTTAAGAACATTAATTCCCAGCATTGATGAATAATCCCGAATTGCATTGGGTAGTATAAGCCCCAAACTACTCATCAACCAACCATCAGTTGTCATTTGTATCACGTGGTTCCGTTAAATGTATTAAAACTATCATACTAGTAATAGACATGTGTTTGTTGTGATTATCACTTATATCACCATTCAAAATGATGTTTTTTTTTCCGTACCCATCATATCACTGCGGCTGGGATCCTGAACCAAGGGATCCCAGGCAATGCCAAGGTGCAGGAACACCAGGTGTGCATGCCTCAGGTCACGCGCAGGTTGGATCCCCAAACCAATGGTGTTTTTTGTTTTCCTTGCCTCAGGGAATGGTGTTTTACTATGTAATATTATATACAATGATTCACAATGATTGTCATCCCAAAGAATCAACAGAGAGTTTGTCAGGTTTTTTGAAATCACTTTGGAGGAGCTAGTTGAGAACGATGGCGACGTCAACATGCTTGGTGATCTCACTGGTAAACAGGTACCACCAAAATCAATCTGAATCAAATTTGCCAAACCTCCTGAATAATATATCATATTGATTACCATTTAAAAAGAAAAATAAAGAAAACAACAAACAATGTGTACATACATTATAATATATATGTTTGTATATACATACATTATATATGTATATAATATATATCAGTTAGATTATCAGTTATAATATTTAATTTATCACTTGATGATGCTCCACGATGTTCCAGGTACAATTGGGGGTTCCTATAGTCTTGAACCATTCAGGGTAGTCGCAGCCCTGCGGCCCCCTGCGGCCCCCCTGCGGCCCCGTGCGGCCCCGTGCGGCCCCCTGCGGCCCTGCGTAGTCGCAGCCAAGGCACCACATTGAAGCGAGGGCTGCTCTGGTGCAACCAACGCTGCTGCGACAGCAAGGGGGCGTAGCACGGAGCAATCACGCCGCGGCGGACGGCCTTTTGCAAAGGTCAGGTGACAAGATTCTTGGAGCAGTGAAGGGTTATATAATTTATATAATCATGTTTCAAAAAGTATATGTATGTGCATATATATATATATATATACAGGGCAGATTAACAACCACAAACTACTACTCACAACTATTTGTTTTGCAGCCTAAAGCCGTTCATGTGATCAGAGACTTGTGTTCGTCACTGCCTCACTGCCGACACCAAGCCTAAACCGGAAACCATCAAACATATCTTCAAAAACGGCAGTCGAGTGGTTGATTTACCATCAAAAACAACTATATACAGAATCTGAATGTATGTTTACATCTATACAGTATACAGTAATATATACATATATGTATACATACTTTTACATGCTTATAAATATACCGTATGTGTATATATAATTATATATATATATACATATGTATGTGTGTATGTACATCTCTCCCTCTCTCTCTCTCCCTCTCTCTCTCTCTCTCTCCATCGCCTTCTCGATATGTATATATTTTTTCTTGGTGTATGCGCATATATGCATATAGTATGTGTCTGTATGTGCATAGTAAATATTTGGCAATTGATTCAGCGATATTGCATTGATTCAGCGATATGCTATTTTGCACACTGACTTCCCAGCAACCTGTGACAGGGTTTGGCGCGCGCAGCCGGCAATCATCGCGGCAACAAAGAAGTGCACTGACCGATCGGGGGCAAGGCAACACGTCTGCGCGGCTGCGGCACAAAAGGCACAAAAGGCTTCGAGATGGTTTTCATATGTTTTCATGTTTCAATGTTTAGAGACTCAGCCATTTGGCTCTTGAATTCAGCACGGATTGCCCTTTTGCTATCTAGAACTTTGATGGGCCAACCAGTTTCAGAATAGTTTTAGGGGAAAAATGCAGGAAATCCCCATATTTGATGGGACACATTATGGTCTCCTCTAGAATGTCCCCTGCAACTATATACAAATATGTATGTATATATATATATAGTTATATATATATATATATGCGGCAATCCATTGAACCAAAGGTTGACATCACCACGCGCTATGCCGTCCTCTTTTGGGAGCGCCATTTCATCGCGATCATCTCTGCGGTCTCTTTCTGCTGACCCGTCGGCCGTCAGCCTGTTCCGACATAATAGCAAACCTTACCATTAGAAATGGTAGTTTGATGGGACTTAATGTGGATTTAATGTGGATTTAGTTTAAATGCTGTGAAAACTGGCTAATTATCAAACATGGCTAGCTGGGACATTTCCGAAATAAATCGGCATTGAAATGGGAAAATCATGGAACCATGGAACTATTGCTGGGTTTTTTTCCAGCAAGCCATGGTTGATTACCAAAGAGCAGTTGACCAATTTTCTTACTGTGCTCTCATTTACCGTTCGATGTCTTCATCCTGTAATGCCGAACGTGTTTTCAACATCAAGGCGGAATTCAAGATTGAAATCATGTCATGGGATAGAAGCAATGTTGATGGGCTTAAGTATACAATCTGAAATGCACCACACACCAATTATTTCCAGTTATATTGCATGTATGGTCAGGAATGATACAGAGTAATATGTAATAATACTATAGAGAGAGAGAGATTGTACTATTGTATCCAGTTTTGGAAGAACGTTTGAAACATAAATCAACTACAGTAACTAAAGCACCGAGGTACACCGTATACCCTCTGACGATCTGCCATGGCAAAAGCTGGACATGTGCCATTGCCAGTCTAGATTTCCCAAGGGCATGTTAGATAAGCATGGCCTTGATTGATTCACAACCCTACCCAAAATCAAGATATTGACTGATATTTAGCACCTTGATATCTAAAATATATGACATTTAGTACTGAATACCCAAACATATTGATTCCGAAAACTAAACTATGCAGGCCGATGATCTTCCAAAACAACGCCGCTGCAAAGTTTGCAGTGAACGCTTGGACGTGATGGCCTCAACAACCGCCAGGAACAGAACATATTTCCGCGGGGTCTAATGCAGATGTGGAAAACCTATAGGACCCACATGGTTTTCCTGGGAAGATCATCTATAATTGGTCAAATGGTTGATTTTCCACAAATTTTTAGAAAAAAACCAGGGTCCTGTAAGAGACAATATCATTATATAACTATATATTATTATTCATGATATATCATGAACTATCTGAAACTACCAGGTGAAGCTTGCCATTCAGCCATAGGCTTGAAGCTGCTCCCTTCCATTGTTGAAGCTGCTGAAGCACCACATCCAAGCAGGAACCAATCAGCCACTGAGGTTTGTATTTGTGGCTGGTCGCGACTCTTCAGCTCACACAGCATTTTTTTACTGTCAATGACAAGGGTGATCAGCAGGGTCAACAAAAGTTTCACATAGATGCTGTGATGAATCGAATCAATCATTTCCGAGCGTTGCATGGAAAGAGATGGAAAATCTGCTTACCGACATGTCTTCAAGCAAGCAGTCAATCCAACAACAACATATCAGCATGGATTGACTCTATGGGGTTCAGAAATTGAGTGAGAAAAAACACGGAAAAGCTGCGAGCCATCTGAATTGTGCAAAGCGTGCAAAGCGTAGAAAATGCGCAAGGCATTCGGCGTGCGCGAATTGTGTCTGACCAGTGCCTGACCAAGTATCTGACATGTTGAAAGGACAGTATGGCAGTATGGAATGGAAAGGATCCAATAGGCATCAGGTTTTCTCTGAGAATATCCACGGAAATCTCAGGGTGCCTCTCTACAGCCCCAAACATTGGGTAACCCAATATGCCCCCAAGAAAGGTTGATGGGCATTAATAACCCAGTCAGGTGGCCAGGGCTCTTCAAGGCCTGGGGCCACAAGGGCACGGTCAAACGTGAGGGAAATACCCCAAGGATGCTGGATTACAGTCGACTCCATCAAGGCCAACGAGAGTTTTGCATTTCAAAAGCTGAAAAAAGAAATCCATAGAATTCTCATGGTAACGCGGCATCCACATGCGGCAATGCTAGCGAGTAGGGTTGCATTTTGGCCAAAGATCAGCGAGTTTCTGTGCTCATCCTTCTTGCACAAAAATCTGCACCGAACACAGCCAGGGCAGCTCCTTCCATCTGGGTTCAATGCAAGCTGGCCAAAGTCCAACACAGTGGATCTTAATGATCCAATATTCACATATATATCTTGCATATTTACACTGCGGGCATGCATTGGCTGGCCTGGCATGTCGGATGCACAGTGTCAAATTGGCTTTGAATCAGGAAAAGCATGTATACAGGAATCCTTTCAATATAACTATAACCAATCATTAAGATAAAAACATGTATACAGAAAAAAATCGCGATAAAGCTACAGTCCAGCTGGACTGCGACAAGCCAAGCTGGCCTAGGGAACATTTGAACATCATTTGAATTCCCAGCACATCGGTTTAGTCTTTCAGTCTCTCGCAGCAGCAAGAGACAACAAAAGAAAGACCCTATACATCATACATCATTATACATTGTTCCATGCAACGTGTTCAAAGAGAAAATGCGTCCAAGGGCGAAAGGTGCCAAAATAATTTTTGCCCCAAGTTGGCCGATTCTTGCGCACAGTTGAACTGGTTGAAAATGGTTGAAATATCTAAAAAACTTCACCCGCCGTGGCCAAACAGCCATCTCCCATAGCTACCGCCATCGGCCAACATCAGGGAAGCCTGAATTTGCCCTGCCCTCGTTACATGCAGCGCCACTGCTTCAATGACGTTCGGCCGGGAAGAGATAGCCAGAGGTTGGTATCCTTCATGGACTTTGATCATGTGATTGTTGAACTGTGGGTGGTGTACATTGTTTTCACTCCTGTACATTTTCACTCCATACACAAATGACAAGAGGGGTTAGCAATACTAGCAAGTACATATCGTTCAGTGTGAAATCATGTTAAAGCCCCATGTTTTGAGGTTTCGGCCCGTTTCAACCACCATTTTTGCGTCGGGAACAATGGACACTTCGGCTGTTCCAGAACGAAAGCTCCATCGGCTGAGTTATGAACTGCCTTTCTCGATGTTCACGTTTATTCTTTGAAGGGATCTGGCTCAATTGCTATATTTCACCACCCTGGAAATCTGTTCTTGACTTGGTTCCCCTCACTAACAACGATTTGAATTTCATCGAGAAGGATATCATCCATGGCAATTATCAATGGCCCTCAAAGGCCCCTGGGGCACTCATGACGCACGATCATCTGTGATCGTCATGCGAACGTGAACATCGTCTGCGGGCGCAAATTCATCTTGTTCCACTGGCCATCGCCTACTCAGTTGCAGGGCTTCAAAAAGCAAGATTGAGGTGACGCAATGATTAGGCAGAAATAGAGATCCATGTTGTTTCCATCCGTTTTTGTTTCTTTGGTAGGTTCATACCTACATCTCACAGGTAACTCTTCTGCATTTGCATTTTCCAAGAGAACCGAAAGCCAAAGGAAAAATATGACTTTTGACAAAGAAAACATTATCTTCAACATAACTTCTTCATCACCTTCTATGCCGTAAAAGCAGGAACTTTCTCAAGTTCGATTGGGCCTGACATTGCATTTCATCCTAGAAATTTGGGTTGGCCAAAATACTTTGGCACATTGCAACACTCCAAAATGCAGCATTTTACGATGGGTTTCACCGGTTCCACCCATTCCAACAGAATCAAAATCAGTTGGGCTGATTGTCTTAGGTACGCTGAAACTTGTTGACATCTGGAAATCACCTGTCCAAACAGGCTCAAGCTGCGAACATGTCAGTTATGAGTAAGTTTACACCGCCAGATTGAGCACTTGACATGAACTCCGCTGGAATGAAAGTGTCAAACTTGCACAAAAGTTTCTCCACAGAGTAGCGGATACGCTTACATGGCCAATATTCTGCATAATATCTATATGCAGTGTGTATATATATATGTATATATTCCAAACATGTCGTCTCTATATATATGGGTATGGGTCAAAATTGCGCACCCCAATAATTGGATGGCTAATACTGAAAATAGACTAAAATATGTCGTGCCCAGGTCTTAAAAATTGACCCATATTATTTCATATTATTATGAATAGATGCACATATACAGCGCAAATCAATGAGCCTTGTGTTCAGACCCTTCACATCCCGGTCTACCACGTGCAGACTTGCCAACCCCGGTGCCTTTATTCACAACCTGGAGCGGATGGTGGGTCTTCAGGTCTTAGTTTTGGTTTTATGACGCAATGAACCAAAACTAAAAATAGAGGAAGGTCCAAACCTTGAGTTTCCCCCTACTAGAGTTATTAGAGCAAACCGCTAATCCATGTTGCCCCATGGTTGGGCATACTACCCATCTAAAATCAAACAAAAGCCAAGTGCCTGTTTAACACGAAATCATCTATCCAGCTCAAGGTCTGTGCAGGAAATTCCTCAAACTATCAGCTTATGTTTCTTGGTAAAACACACGGGGAGCCAATGTTTTACTATCAGCATCAGAACGTTGATCAGCTTCAGCATTTGCATTAAAATTAGCAACACCATCATCACCATCATCACCATTGTCATCATCATGATCAATCATGTCCTTGGATGGTTTTAAAAAAAACTGGAGCCAGTTTGGTATACCATCTGTCATCGGCCCCAAACCGCTGTCGTTCAAGAGGAGCAGTTCCGGCCTAAGGCCATGGAATCCACCAGTACAAAGCGGCCAGCCTGGAGCACAATGGAGAGTGAACCTTCATTGCTACTAGTACTTGTGTTACTGGTGATATACGTATAAGTGTGTGAATGTATAAAAAAGATAGATAGATGGATAGATAGATAAATAAAATAATAGATATGTAGAATTTATCTCAAAAAACAGCATGTGCACACACACACACATATATATATATATACATATCTATGTCTATATGTATATATATATATATATTATCTATTTAGAAACATGAATATACCAAACCAGTAAAATCTCATGGCACCGCAAAGCGCAAACAAGATACAGTAATATATTTACCACCGACCAGCCATCTAGCAATCTGCTTTTGGATCTCCTGCCAAATGCAAAGGGGTCAACTCCTCGGTGTTGCCACCCCATTTTGACAGTCTAATGGTTTTTGTCATAGATCCCAACTGGACATACCCCAGAAACGTGGGTTTAATATGGGCTATAAAATATAAATGGTTAATATTCCCCAGTAATCAGTAATGGTTGAATGCCCTTTTGGATCCTTTTGGGGTATGTGAAAAATATCTACTACAATCCCTGACTGAGAACAGAACAATGACATATCACGTGAAAACTGTGGCACGTTTTGGCGTTGTAACTTTGAACGTGTTCATCTTTTTCCTCAGACTTTCCAAGGAATGACAATCCTGCTAGGCTTGTCCCAGCAAGAACTAACTGGGATTTTCGAGGGAACATAATCAGCAAGTAGCTATATGTCCATAGGGCATTCAAGGAGACAACGAGCCAACCTGACAGAAACCCAAGAAAACTCAAGAAAAACTGGGTAGAACTGGGATTGAAAAATATTTTCCCAAATGGTTTTACCCTTCGGAAATCAATCATGGCAATGGCTAAGGCTTCCCACCTTTAAATGGACGTTTTAATGGGAACATCATCTATAGATTGGGCATGTTCTGTCACCAAGTTCGATTACCGCCGGGCAATATGTTTTAAAGTAGTAGACCCAGATTATACACCATCCAACACCATCTCCAATTTCCCAATAGTA